CATGCCCCTGGGCTGGGCATACCACTTGACCCTCACATCAAGATCCCTTACGAGGATCCCCAACTCATCTTTCCTGAAGATGGAACTGGCCCCATGCTGATACCGCCAAGTTGTGACAAGGAAAATTAATGAAACAAGCCCACATGCAAACCCCTTCAAACGATGCCATACTAAAGGGCCGGGAGGGTGGGCCAAGTCGCTCAATGCCGAAAAGATGGCAAGAGGCACGGTGCTGTGCCTTTAGTAACAGCCAGTGCACCCCCACCCACCCACACCCAAGACCCTCTGATAGGGAAAGCACTGGGTCAGGTGGGCGCAAGCTTCCCACACTTGCTGCTGGCCCGCCCCCTCTGCCTAGCAAGGATTGTCTCTCTGCACCTCCCTCCCCCTCCCCGTGGTGCGGCAAACAGGGCCCAGGTGATTTCAGGGCTCCGGCTTCAGTTTGGCCCTGTAGGGTTGCCTAGAGAAAAATATTGTGTTACTTGGCCTCTCTGCACCTCCCTCCCCCCTCCCCGTGGTGCGGCAAACAGGGCCCAGGTGATTTCAGGGCTCCGGCTTCAGTTTGGCCCTGTAGGGTTGCCTAGAGAAAAATATTGTGTTACTTTAGGAGAGGCCTAATGTATGGAAATAGGCAGATGAAGCTTCTCATTACATGGAGGTAAATAATATCCCCTGGTAAATAATATCCCATTAAACCCATTTTGAAGGAATGTGACATTTTTATCCAGGCCTGTTGGCAGCCCAATGCTGAGGACAGGAATTAAGCAAACCCTGGCATCTTTGGGATCTTTCACAGAAATATTTATTTTGTAGTCAGTACACTCAGAGTTTGCTACCTAAATAGTACTACAAAAGGCTGCCTGCAAAGATATAAAATAAACAAAACAGTTTTCATCATAGCATGAATTTTTTTATCCTATAATGAAGATGTGTCCAGCTTAAAGACTTTCTTTAAGGGCAAAATTCCCAATGAAACAAAAAATGGCACTAATATAAGGAGTCTGTTTTATGGGTTTGCGATTTGTAGTTCTTGTTGGCCTCTGCTAGATATGTTTTAAATGTCACCATCATCTTTTTTTGTTATTGTTCTTTGGCACCATTATGATACCCAGAGTGTATCTGAAAATAAGTTGGCTTCATGCAGATGCTTTTCCAAACTTTAGTTTACTACTATGGGCTTGCTTTGTTCATCCTCCCTCTCACTTGCTGTTTCACTTCTCCATTTCTGGGTTGCTCTAATGGCAACCATTGTTTGCCACGATGATTGAATCAGGAGAACTATGGCTAGGTCCATCCTCCAAATCATCATCGACAGCATTTTTTAAAAAAGGTAATTTGAAGTGGGTTTGCAAGCCATGGTGTTGCAGATTAGTGTTAACTAGAGATGCTTGGTTCAGGTGTTGTCTTGACCTGGAAATGGGGGATAGAATGGGCACACAGCGATGTTGGAGGATTGCCTGAATGGAGCCACTGTAAACATGTGCCCAGGAGTTACACTAAGCCTCTTAAAATGGGGACAACCCGTGAGCAGATACTAAGATATTTTTTTTAATTAATAAACTGTGTTCGTTTCTTTAGGACTTCTTCTCATGTTACTTGTCCCCAAAACACTCCCATGTCACTCTTGAATCTAAAAATACATGTATGTGCAACATTTGTTCATATACTAGCTCATATCCATTGGAGCATTTCCACAGACAGAAAGATTTCCACCCTCAGAGCATGACTTTCTTGCTCTGAGCCAGTTTGGTGTAGTGGTTAAGTGTGAGGACTCTGATCTGGGAGAACTGGGTTTGATTCCTCACTCCTCCACTTTTGCAGCTGCTGGTGTGACCTTGGGTCAGTCACAAGTTCTCTCAGAGCTGCTCTCTCAAGGGCAGTTCTCGAAAGAGCTCTCTCAGCCCCACCTACCCCACGGGGTGTCTGTTGTGGGGAGGGGAAGGGAAAGGGATTGTAAGCCGCTCTGAGACTCCTTTGGGTAGTGAAGAGCAGGGAATAAATCCAATCTCTTCTTCTTCTTCTTCTCTTCCCTGCCCCCTGCATCCCAAAGCACAGTGAGAGGAGGGAGGCAAGAAAGTTGCAGTGGAAATCTGTGGAAATGCTCTGGTGGATCCAAGCCACTGTATTTATCCTTATACTGTGTGTCTGCTTCCAGTGACATTTGAAGTGTAGAGAGAGAATTGGGCTTTGCAGCCAGTCCTAGTTCTCTGATAGGTACCTATATGATACACATGATTCCAAGTATATGCTTGCTTCATTCATCTTGACAGTTTTAAGTGTACCATTCCAAATCTTAGATGTATACCTAAATATGCCGTATGTGGAGCCAGCCTTAGGTAGCTGGTCTCCAGAGTTGGTTTCTGGGGGAAGGAAGTTTTGCATATTGCTGGCTAAGACAAGCCAGTGTGGTGGAGTGGCTAGAATGTTGAGCCTGGGTGTGGGAAACCAGGGTTCAAATCACTATTCAGTTGTTAACTCAGTGTGTGGTCTTTGGCAAGTAACTATCTTGCAACCTAGCCTTCTTTGCTGGG